ATACATCCTCTATAGAGTACGATGACATTTTTCTGCAGATTTTAGTGCATAATTCTTACTTATATGCTGAGGTTAACATATTGAAAAAATAAAACATAAAATATAAAATATACCACAATGTTTTCATAGGCCACATTTGTTTCTTTTCAAATTTAATGTTAGATAAATCATTAATGTTAATAAATCATCAAATAAACAGTAATTGTGCATTAAAATATGCAGACGTGTGTATCTCTGTAGAGGATGTGTACTCATTTTCCCTTAGAAAATCAACAAAAATTGCCAAAACTTTTGCGCACGACTGTTACTACATAACATAGACTAGTTTCACTGTAGTTCTAGAAGTTGTTGTAAAATACTCAGTATGCTTACACCTGACCAAAAATTTCAATTAAATTGTGTGTTAATGCATCACATTATTAAAAAATTGGCAAACATAGCTTGCTGTTTACAAACAAACTATACTGCTTGGCTGAGAAATTGCTTATTGTTTAAAATACTGTTTTATTAAATGTTGCTATATTTCATCATATTGTACTTTGTCATTGTCATTGCTTTAGTTTCTGCTTCATATTGTAACTAACAATGCCCCTTAACTGTGGTAAAATCACTGTAATAGACGAACATTTACTAAAATGATGGCATATTATCCTCTATATTGTCCACTGCTCCAAGTTCTAGCCTGGGTTTTCAATCTCAATAAAGTCTGCTTTACCGCATTTGATTTGCTGTGTCACGATGCTTGACCCACATGATGTGTGATGTTCCTTTAATAGATGTAAGGCACACTTATTTCCATAAAGTAAGCAGCTTAGACTGCAGGGAGAGGTCCAGAGGCTATTTTTGTTCTCGTTTCTTTCATAGCTAAGTGTCCAAGTGGCTGCTGACAGCTCCTCAGTGTTTGGATTGCCACTGTTGGATAGTCTGACTGGCTAGACCTCAAAACCTCCAGACTAGGATGATTCCTCCTGCATCAGCATCACTGAGCCAGCCACTTTTCTCATATGGAGAACTCCCCCGCCCCTCTCTCTCGCTCTCTGTCTCTGTCATAGGCTATCGCAGTTTTGTTTTCTACAATGTCAGAACTTGGGGTCATACATATGTCTAATAGAAATTACAGCTGTGTGCAATAGTTTGAACAAGCCCAGTCAAATTATGTTTTATTGCAAATTTTTGTGCACAATTTATTTTTAATTGTGGAGTTCATGTATCTTGTATCTTCTAAGCCGCTTCTCCTTCTGGGTCACGGGGGGAGCTGGAGCCTATCCCAGCAGTCATTGGGTGGAAGGCAGGATACACCCTGGACAGGTCACCAGTCCATCGCAGGACAGACAGACTTACACATTCACACCTAGGGGCAATTTAGCATGTCCAATCGGCCTGACTGCATGTCTTTGGACTGTGGGAGGAAACCGGAGAACCCGGAGGAAACCCACGCAGACACAGGGAGAACATGCAAACTTCACACAGAAAGGACCCTGGTCGCCCAGCCAGGGAATCGAACCCAGGCTTGTGGAGTTTAACACTGGAAAAATGAAAACATAAAATACAAAATGTGCCATATGTTCAGAAAATCTTTACAAAGTCTGGACATTTTTGTCCTGAACTCGTACAAAAACAAACACACACCTACACATGCACCAGCCTCCTCCAGCAGACACTGCAGCCCAGTAATCTGTTCTGCTCTTTCATCTCTTCAGTTCTCTTTTATTCTTTTCAGTTCTTTTTCACACTTCTTATTTCACCACACAGACACAGCACTCACTGAATGAAAAATACGTTTCTGACCCTTTTTTTTCACTGTGCAGGCAACACGCTGCCCGAATACAAAATTCTGCAGCTGCGCTACATCGCAAGCCTCTTTATTTATTTGTATTAGTGAGGAGCCTGCTGCCTTCTCTGAGGCTTCAAACAGGGTTTGTTTTCCTGTACGAGAGAGGAGTGTCTGCTTTCACCCACGGGGCTGCTTAATAAGTGTTAATATGCGACTGAGAGTGAGGAATAAATGGGTATAGAGATAGTTGAGGGAGAGAGAGAGACAGAATATCCTCTTTCATCCTCCTATGGGCTGCCAAAAAGCAAACACAGACACTTGATCCAGCACTAAATCATGGCCAAAAAAGCGGCCTCAGACTGCCTCGCCAACAAACACGAGCAGGCCTTGCATTACGGAGTCGTTGACTTTGAAAACCCAAGTCAATGCAAGGTCAGAGGCGGCCCTCCGGGCAGCAGCAGGCCACATACACACTATATGCTGCCTAGCAAAAGTTTGGTGACACCTTGCTTTTCATCAAGGGCAATTGTGAAAATGTGAAATGCTGTATTCTAGTCAGACGTCTTCACAGCGGTGGTAAACCAGATGTCTGAGGAGATTAATGCTACTAAAAGCTACCTCACAGAAAGTTATTATATGAAATGGTTATGGCTGTGTTGCCTGATGCCTGAGACATTGTTTTATGATGGTCTTCTAGATAAAGTTTTGGCCTAAAATGTAATTCTTTAAAATCAATTCACAGCAGAGAGGAAAGAGGCACATCCAGGATGTCATGGGGCAAAATAGTCCCCAAAGACAAGTTATTTGTACCAGTATTTCACCACTATCAACATGCATATGAAACCTCAGAACACACATGTAGATTGTCTGGTCATTGTGAATGGGAAATAAATTTGCATTAGCATTGTAGACATTAAGACCCTTGAGCCGTAAAGTGTATCTACAATGCATCATTTCATATCAAATCAGAATAACTGAATCAGAATCTGAATAACTTTACATCTCAGTGATTCCATTATCAGAGATTTAGTGGATTAGTGAAAATTGAATTTCCCCTTTAATAAATGACTATATTTTCTATGTCAGTACAAAAACGTTATAAAATTAAAAGCTGTTCTTTGCAAAAACTGAAAAATGAAACAAACAACTGATGTGCTATCTTGGGCATAACATCAAAATCCCAAGCATTTTATTCCCTTGTTGTGATGTCAGCATGTTATGTTTGCACACGAACTTATTGTCTGTGTTCAGATATGCAGATGTTTGGTGATGCATGAGATGAAAGATCTGTGTTCATAACGCTGGGTTTTGCCTGGTGTTGAGCAGTGAAGTTGGGGCTAATGTTACTGCAAACGTGGTGTCAGTTCATGTTTATTAAGAACACAACACAGAACTCAACACTCAAACCTTTTTAGTCATTTAAACCACTTTTGGGACAAAAGAGTTTCAATACGTGCTTTTAATAATAGTTTGGCAAAGAAAACTGCTGTGTTGCCAAATAAACTCAGAGTATAAGTAGATAGTTTTACAGTGAAAAAAAGTGCAGCCTTTTCTTACTCAATTAAAAAGTAACAGCTTTGTAATTGTTTCAAACTGAAACTTGGTTGTTAATTAGTCACACTATAAACTAACACTTAAAAGTTTAAAACTGCTGTTCAAAAGTTTGTAATCAATCAAAATTGTGGAATCGTTTAAAGATTTGTAATCACTATTCAATAGTTTGGAACTGTTCAAAAGTTTGAAATCGCTACTCAAAAGTTTGGAATCATTGTTTAAAAGTTGCGAATTGTTGTTCAAAGGTTTGGAATCACTGTTCAAAAGTTCAGAATTGTTGTTCAAAAGCTTGGAATCGCTATTCACAAGTTTGGAATCCTTGTCCAAAAATTTGGAATACTTGTTCAAAATTTTGTAATCAACGTTCAAAAGTTTGGAATCAATGTTTTCAATAATATAGAACCAGCTTGGTTGCAGTAAAGTGTATAAAATTATCGGCATATGTAATTTATTTATAACTTCACAGCTTTCAAGTAGTTAGTAAAACACTAGGAAGCTGCAAATAAAAATGAAACGTAAATAATAAGTAATTCTACATGTGCCCAGAATAATGAGCTGTAGAAGACTTTAGAATGACTGAAAAAGCTGTATAACATTGAGAATTAAGTTACAATAAAATTAATATTCAGAACTAATCATACCTTAAAAGTCAAGATCAAATCTCAAGGCATATAATGCGACAAAACAATATGTAAATAGATCATTACAGTATATTATTTATCATTTAACTTCTTGTTCATAAAAATCTTGAAATGTTGATTAAAACATTTCACCTTTTGGTGAATCGTTTGTATATACAAATCCACACTGTATAAATTATTGTGCTCCAAATAGAGCTTACACTGTACACTCATTAGTGAACATATCATTTTTACACCTATTCACACACATGTAAGATACACTATGCAGTGCAACAGTGAGCAGTTAACACCATTTACCACTGTTGACACGGATCCACCACCATCTCAGCAGACTGAGCATACTTTTGCTCCACTTGCTGAACCTGTTTGCCAACTTAAAGATATCAGCAACATCCCCAGCATGGAATCAACTTTTACAGAGTGACCAGCTGGTGTCCAGTTGTGGGCTTTAATTTCACACTGGGGATCTTTTTCTGTTCATATGGCTGAGTACAGTCTGTCCAGCTTAGCTATGGACATTTAAGGTCAGCAATGAGGGCCATACATTGGATAATATGGATCCAAGCTGTGCTCCATATAGATTCATTATAGATTCATGTTGTTCAATGTAGGCTATAATGCTGACTCCCAAGGCTGTTTGAGGACAGCACTGAAAAAAACATATATGTTACATAACAGATCCTTTAGCCAAATGCTAATGGACCTTGTCAGCAGCTGTTTGAAGTTGTTAAACAGGACAACCCTTGTATTCTTTCAATGAAGTGCACTAACAGTACATTGCGTGCCACCAAGTCAACTATCATACCAAAAACTCATAAACAACAGTGTTGTGCTGAAAAGCACTCGCAGGTGTCAAACTGGTTTGTGCAGTTTCTGCGCTGCAATCTTTACGTAATCACATGGAAGCCTTCTCCTTGAGCTTAACCCCTGAAGCAACTCCAAAATCCATTGCTGTTCGACTGCCAGACAGCCACTTTCATCACGCCAAATCACAGCTAGGGGGATAAAGATGCACCCATAGACGACGGGAGTAAAATAGTTGTTGAATTATTTATTATCTGTAACACAAATTGAGTGGCTGAGCCCGGTGGTCCAGCCTGCTTGTGTGCTCCTTCATCTACAGTACATGATATTTACATCTCAGACCATTAAAAACTTCACAAAATTAATATGTTGACAATTATACTGTATATTCACATATATATATATTTATAAAAGGTCAGAAATATCAACAAATTCCAGGTATAAAAAACACAGCTCAAAAACTAAGAGAAAAGAAACTGGTCAAATTTAGTGCAAAGGTGGTACAAGTACAAAATACTGTTGGTTGGTTTACACGCATTCAGTACAAAAGCAGCGAGGTTACAGGTGTGTGTCCGCGATGGGAATCCGCCGCAGCTCCACAATCTGAGAGTTCGCCACGCTCCCGCCGTCGTGACTCCCAGGGATGGACTCGTTGTCGCTCATGTTAAGGCCTGACCCTGTGGAGCACAAAACAAAAATGATATAAGAGTCCACTTTAAGGTATTAATTTACATTACATGCTATAGATGGCATTAAAGATGCACTATGCACAGCGTATTTCAGCAAATTTTAGTGAACACTATTTATTTGCTGAGTTTTACATACTGGAAAACAAAACATATAAATGTGCCAAGTGTTTTGCACATTTTCTGTTTCAGTATTTTCTTGAAAATGTTAAAATAAACAAACAAACAGTAATAGTGCCTTAAAATGTGTGTTCTCTGTAGAGGATCTTACTTTCACTCAGAAAATCAGGAAAAACTCTCATGACCACACAATGTTTTATTTCAAATTCACATCGAGAGCCAATCGACCTCTCCATTCTCTGTCCACAAATGCATTCTTTCACTGCATCTGTTGCAAGGTTGGCCAACCTTTACAGAAAACTGAACCACCCCCCCACACCCCAAAAAAAAAAATCCTAAAAAGAACTCTAGGGTTTAGACGGGCTAATTAAAGGCTCTTTCATCCGTCTAGCTGCTGTGTCTGCTGCTGTTGTTAAAGAAAGTCTCTCAATAACGCATCTTTTGTGACACTAATGCAAATTTAAGCCTGGTTTTAAAAGGCAGAGAAAACAAATGCAAAGTGAGTGGTAAACGCAATCAGCCTCTTATGATCCTCACACATTTTGAGTAGCCTTCCTGCAAATGCAAATGCTGACGAAGAGAAGTGCATTTTGTGGACCAAAAACTTTTTTAACTGTTTTAACTCATGTGCCAGTTTCAGCCATAGTGTAGGCTAAATGTTTCTGAATTGCACCTGAAACCGGTGCCTAAGTACATTGTGCTCTTAGCTTCCAGTTTAAAATGCTACTGAGTTTGACCCTGTTTTTCTAGTAAACTGAAACTAAGCAGGTTGGAAAATGAGAACAACAAATTTGCTACCATGCTAGCATCAGCATAGGCTTTATTACACAACTGCCATCAATCCCAATAGTGTCACAAGCAAGCAAGCAAAAAAAAAAAACATGAAATCAGTAACACTCTAAATTCAGGTATTTTTACAAAAACTGCATTATAGTTCTGCACTACAGTTTCTTTTTAGGTTTGTTTAACCTAGCAACAACTGCAACCAAAGAACACATTTGTGGGCAGAGCCTGGACAGGTCAATACTAAATATCATCATCCAATGATATATCATATAGGAGTGTGGATAAGCGGTTTAGATGATGTATGTATGTATGTATGTATGTATGTATGGGTAATTGAATACTCAGTTAATCCTTCAAATTCCAGTATTCATATACTGAAATTATTTGTTATGTTGGCAAAATATGGCATTAAAAGTCATGTCACATCTGTTAATACTTTGATAACTGCAGACTGAAGCATCCTGCACAATCATTTTAATGAGATGTTTATATCAGACAAAATTCTTCTTTTCTTCCATGTAGTCAAATGGCATTTTATTTAATTTTACCAATTTTTCAAAATTTCTGCATATTTAAATCTTTGTTATGAACAAAGCATTAAGAGTGGTTTGATGTGAAATGTGCCATTTTGGAGAAATTTAGTGAGTCAGAATTGCAGTGATTATAATCTAAAGAGTTTAATGCCTCTAAAAGCTTCCACACAGGAAACAATTACATGAAACGGTTATAAATACGCTGCCTGATGCTTGAGACATCGTTTCGAGATAAGGTATTGGCCTAACATATAAAAACATATTTATTTTTTAAATACATTCTTGCTGGGTTTTGTAAACACAATTCCCTGAAAAAACATTTAACACTATTTTACCGTTATTGACTTTACATAAACATATGTAACATATGTAATATGTAATATGTATATTTGAATAGTAGACACCACTGAAGGAAATGAGAGTTGGTAAATTTCTCTACAATACACCATCTCACATCAAAATAGTCTGAACAACACTTTTTACATCTGAAAGGTTCAATTCTTCAGGAAATCTAAAAAATAACTGGAATTGTCCTTTAACTGAAAATCCATTCATTATTATAATGCACACCCCAAGTATTAAATATGTTAGATATGAGACACAGCATACATATATATATACCATCATGATCAGCACTGGGATGAAAATATGCAAATGGTGAAGTTCTCCGGTCATAAATATTAATGTCTAATTGCCCTGAAGTGAAGATGTGATATTTCATCCTCCAGGCTGGAGGGGCTGGAGCTGCTGAAATGGCTGCTGGGCCAGAGATTATATAAGGCTCCTAACAGAGAGATCCAGCCTGTGACAAAAACTCTTACTGAGAGCTAGATTAGTGTATCAATTCAGCTAATATGCCTCTCACCAGCAGAGATGGTGCTTGACAGATAGCAGGAAACAAATAGACAGTCGATGGCCTAAAACTCTTGGAATATTAACAACAAATACAGTCCTCTATATAGAGTGGCTTTACTGTGTATGAGCCATTTATCCATAGTGAAAAGGTAACGTGCTGAATTTACTAGATTCTAAGATGTACATAATTTCCCCATCATTAAAATGTATTAATACAATTTGTCATTCAGTTTACTTGCTATTACACATACTTAGGTTTAAGTGTATATGTGGAAATAATGCGCATGTAAATTCTTCTGAAGGGTATTAGTAGGGAGTTGTCCCTCTTTTGCTGTGGTAACAGTCTCTACGCTATTGCGAAGGCTTTACACTGGATAAGGGATGCCAAAAGTAAAGCCTGTGGACCAAAGGTGGCCTGTGAGGATGTTTGATTTAAGAAACTTACCCTAACTCCTCTCCAAAACCCAATGAGAACAAACAAACATTCTTATTCTATATATAACTTACTACATTCTTATCTTCCTTTCAAATTTGTATTTGTACAGCATTTTAGTAACAAAACTTTAATAATATTACACTATAATGTTACTATAGTGGACACTTTCGCCTCCTAAGACATGTTGGAATGCTACTGTGAGGATTTGGTTGCATTAGTGAGGTCAGGTACTGATGTTGGATAATAGTTCTTGACCACAAAGGCCACCTCAACTCATCCTAAAGCTATAAGATGAAGCTCCATCACTCCAGAGAATGCTGGGCGGCTTTATACCCTTCTAACCAACACTTGGCATAGGACATGGTGACCTGTGCAGCTGCTCCAGGGCACCCCTTTCTATTGGCAATGCTTTTGAATGGAGCTTATGCAAGCTGTGTATGTGCAATTGAGCACCTGTGCCTGCAACGACTGCACCATAAACTAGCTGAATTCACCAGTTAGAATGGATGCCTAAATGGTTTTGGACATACAGTGTATTCAACCTTTTGTTAAATGGTTAAAACCAGTGTCCTTCCAGCCTGTCCAGCATTCCTGATTTCCTAACACAGGCTTGCAAGAAGCACCCGGCAGCCTGACCTCTTAGAATCAGGCTCTAAAACGTATGTCAACGAAGAAAGATAACTGACAATGAACTGGCGAAAGTTCAAGGTGCTAAGTGGAAAAAGCAATGTTTCCATTTGATTCAAAGTCCAGCCTCTGCAATCTGAAGTACAGACTCTGTAACAGTCTCAGCAAAAAGTCAGCGTGCACACAGTCAGCGTCGTCTTTTTAGACCGCTCAGTATAAGAATGCTGTTCCTTCATTATGGGGGAAAAAAGTTAAGTTGAGCCGTAATAGATCACAGTGATGCATCGTCACACATACAGGGCTCTATCTCATTAAACATTGATGATCGACCCCAATAGCATTCACAGCGGTAAGTCAGTAGAAGTCTGATGTACTTAGACGAGAACATAAAGATGTATGCAGCACTGCAGGGCCAACAGGACTATCAAGAAAAACCCTATTTGGAAATATTGTGTTAAGGTAACTCAATTTTAAAGTATGAAAGTCTAATTTTGACTGTCAAATTCAGAGTGAAATGATACCAAAAGTGAGGTTGATTTTGATTTTGAGTATCCCAGAACAAGTAAGTACACATAATATGGTAAGGATTTGCAGATACTCAGACTCATGTTATTTAGAGCATATGAATGGTACTTTGTAGTATATAACCAATTAGTTAGCCAATGACACTATATAAGACTTACATATTATAGGTTGGTGTCTTATCAGACCATCACCAACCTTTTCCTTTCTTTTTTTCCACATCATTTAAAAACATCATCTGTCCTTTTCATTTCATAACAACTGGATCAAAAGAAAAGGTCCAAAATATATACAGTTAAAAGCATTGTTTGTTTGTAAAGCAAAGGTTTTGTCACAAAAACATACAGTACTGTGTAAAAGTCACAGGCAGCCAAGAAAACTGTTACTAGCAATTGGTGAAGCAATTCATCTCGGCTAAGTGCGTTTTTGTTTGATATTTAGTATTAGAATAAATCAAATAAACATAAATACAGTAAAAGGACACAGGGGTACATGACAAACTAACACAGCAGTTGTACACACATAAAATCATAATATTTTGAATTAAAACCCAAAAAGTAATGTAATTCCAGTAAATGTGTTTCAGTAGTGACAGCTCTTAATGTTCCACACTGATTTTCAGACTTTGGGACACATTTACTTCAAAACAATGAGGTCTAACTGCTCACCATGTGGCCATGAGTGACAGGAATACAGTCTCACCTCCTGCTCTAAAATGCAGGGGTGTGGCTAAAATAAGGCTCCGCCTATGGACTAAAATCCTTTTTGTTTTATTTAAAAATTAATTTCATGATAAATCTACATTTTTCAACTTTAACAGAAATCAGAAAGATCTTAAAAAAATTATAAACAAACATAGGTATTATTTTTATAAGCCTAAACTTAGGGGTTTGGGTTTGGGGCAGACACCCCCGATAGAAAAGTACCCTATACTTTCTATTTTTTGTATATATTTAGCTTATTACTTCTCAAATAATGCCTTGGGTTTAAATAGATCATAATATAATTCTTGTAAATATATGGTCTGAATACTAATTGGTGTTTTAAATAGTTTTTAACCATGGGACTGCAGTTTAAACTCATTCGGTGGAATCGTCCATTTGTGTACCTCCACTGTTGCTCAGTAAACTATGGATATAATGTAATGTTTTTATAATGTGAAAGATATTGTAGTGTGGTAAGAAATTGATAATGAGGTTTATTTTTGAGGAAAGTCTTACCGGTCTTTAAGGCAAATATCAGGTCGTCAAACTCCTGCGACTCCTCGTCTTGGACTAGATTTGTGTTAATGAAGCCGCCCTCAGAAGGATAGGTGCCGTTTTCAGCACCCTGTTTGAACACACTGCTGGGCTGACTGCTCGGCCTGAGGGACGCTCTCTCCCAATCTGCCGAGATCTGAACAACACACATGAAAGAACAAATTCGGTCAAAAAAACAAACACACATCAACAAGTTCCCCAGCATATCTGAACAGATTTTTTCAAACATGTCTAGTAATGCAAAAGGAATATTTAATACACACAACTTGAACAAAGAAAGAAAAAAACAACTATCCAAGAGCCAAAACATGCTTACTGATAGGCTTGTACCAGCACCACACCCACTACCACTGCTGTACTGAGGATAGTCCACAACCCTATTAATACTTGGTCAACAGCAGCCCTGTGGTCAGAAACTGACCAGTGATCAGTGGGATGGAGGGTGGATGAGAAATTGTGTATGACAACAGTCAGGAATTGTGCACTCTTACACTATTTTTCAAGTTTGAGTTATTACATGGTAAAAAATATACTGCAATAATATGTTTATAGTCAATTCTTTTTGAGTTATCTGCCTCTAGATTTGATTACTTTTTAAACTGTTTTGTTATTTTGGATGTGTATTTTATTAAAACTTCATTCTTGTCCAATCCATTTAGTATGGAATCATCTACAGTTCAGTTCTGAACACTAAAACAGATTACTGATACTTAACTAAAAGTTAAGTATCAGTAATGTGTAAATATAATGTGTAAATAGTAAGTAATGTGTAAATATAACTAGTTACTACCCACTTCTGATGTACTGTTACAGCATGGTGGTTGTGTTGATGTGTCTTGTGTCTTATTATGATATAAGTCAATGTTAAATGGTCTTTTTGTCCCCTCGTGTCTCAACAGAAGTAGGGGTCCCAAGATAAGAGTTAGCCAGGAGCCCCAGAAGGCCTTAATATGGCCATGTGCTGATATTTGTGGTTCATGAAGGGGTCACTGTAAGATTACATTGTCATGGTTGGCTAAAGGGTAAAATGGGGTTTGGGGGTAAAAGAGTTCACTGGCTGACTGAATGATTCAGTGAGTCATTTTTGCTCTGAAGTAGGCTATTGCTTTGGGGCTCATTGCACACCAAAAGGCTGCTTGCTGATTCAGCCGGGAAATGCAGATAACTGGCTAAGGAAACTTTCCTTTGATATGAATTTAATAAATAAATGGAGCTCAGACAGTCGGACGCGGCCTTGGGGACTACAGACAGACCCATGAAATGATGTAGAATAAAGATGTCTGGAAATGACTGAAAAGTGAAAAAGACACTTCTGTTAAAGCTGGTCAGCAGCTGTGGGTCTAATAAATGCCTTACATAATGTAGAATAACAGCTTGGGCTAATATCACTGCTGCTTTCACTTTTCTCTGGACTGCAAGGGTCAAAGCAGGCTAAGTCAAAGCAATATTAAACTGAATCTATCTATCTTCAATTAATACCCAATTTATTGCAAGGTAAGTTTTGGTAATGCATATACAAAGAAGACGAAACGTTCCTCTGCAAACTCTCAGCAGATTTTCAGGGTAAAATTGTCGCACTATAGAGAGCGCACACTGACTTAGCCAGTTAAACGAACCATCCGTCTTCCTTTCCTCCATCTCCCCTTTCTCACACTGCCTTATTTTTTTTTACCCGGACTGATAAATGCACTTTCCTTCCTCTTTTATCACAAGAATTTAAAATCACACACACAATAATGATGCATCACATAATATATTTCCCACCCGGTATCTTTCAGTATACATGTATGAAGCAGTCCTATACAACACATCAAGAATGGGGGAAAAGAATCTACATACTTCCAAGCTGGGAATCTACATACTTCCAAACTTGTAAGTCTGAAATACTTGAAACATTGAATAAAAAAAATGATGCATGGGCCTATGGTCTCCATGCCAAATGCCAAATGCCAAGCTTTGGCTAGTTAGGACTTGGTAAGTAAGACTTGGGCTGTGGAGCAGAGGAATTGTCTTCTCTGAGGAGACGGAGCTCCATTTATATACCTTTGGGATGACTCTCTAAAATCACAAATTCCCCTTTTTACACTTCATTTCAGAAGAAATGTTGGGTGAGCAGGTGTCTACCAATGTTTGGACCTACAGTATTTTCAGAGACCATCCTTCATTTATTTAACTGAAAACGACCATTAAGTACAAGTCATTCATTTTTCAAGAGATATTTCTGAGGGGATTTAAGATAATACACTTGTATAAGGAAAAGGAAAAATCAAAGGAGAATAAGTAAAAAAATAGGTTTACAACACTTAAGTTCAAAAATTTTTTAAAGGATATAGAAAAAAAAGAGTCTTAACAACCATGCAAGCCCTAATAGACCACCAAAACTGTCATCATCAGATAAACAGTATTTGATCTTTGAGAGAGAGGAGAAAATCAAACTCCACTGTTGCTTCATATTTGAAAAAATCCACAGATGTTTCTGTCCATACTTCCACTGTGAGAAGACAACTCAACACTGTCAGTCTGAAAGGACAAAATGGTTACTGTGAGAAAGGAAACAGACAAAAGAGAAATTCCAGCCAACTTCTAAGACTGAACTGTGGAGGTGTGAAGAAATATCCTGGCAGATTTCCTTGACAGACTGAAAGCAAGTCTCCTGATAAAGAATGGAAGCTGTAATAAAGGTAAAGGACGGACGCACTAAATACTGACCATTTTGATATGTTTAGTTGTGACATCTGTGTAAGTTTCTGTTGAATATGTTTTCTGCTTTTTCCCCTCACTCTCAGAATGAATAACTTGTACCTAATGGCCAGGCTGGAAATTAAATAAGTGAAGGGTGGCCTCTTCTTCTACTTCTGCATAGCACTGTATAATGTACGTAGTGTTTAATAAGTTATTGTTGCACATAAAACAACAAGAAAATATTGAAATATTGATAAACCAAGTGATTCCAAGCATTTGAATGGTTGTGTATCTCAATAAATATATGGGAAGAATTTGTTCCCGGTGCTTCCTTTTAGTGCTGACTTCATTTCCTTTGTTAGGGAGTGTCGGTAAAGGGGCGGCAGTGCTGGAGTTCCCATGGGAAAGGAAGCAAAATCCATCCAGTTTCTCCAGTCACAGGCACCAGCATCTGGTAGAGTGGCCCATTGGAGACAGCCAGTAATCAGGACAGAAAGTCCGAGGTTAGGTGAATTAGGCACCGCCAGGCACTGCTGGATTTGTCACATCTGTTCGTAATGCCTGAACAGACAGCTAGCCCTCCTTTCCCCTCTCTCTCTACCTCTCACTCTTTTCCCCATTCTCTCTACTCCCCTCTCCCTCGCTTTCTCTCTAGGCCGCATGTGATAACCCAGAGTCCTAAATCCAAAAAGTTTGTGCTCTCATGAATGAAACAGGATTACTCAGGCGCTCCTGAGCCTGCGCTGGGGCGCGATCAAATTAAATCTGCCCCTTCAGAATAACAGAGTCTTGCCTACAGATCATTGAGGTACTCAGTTTGAACTCAGACTGGATAAATGTATTACAAGGCTGTGACCTTCTACTGCATCTCAAACACCATGGAGAAAAGTGTCACTCTAATATGTTGCTTTAAGTAGAAGAGAAGTTGAAGCTGATTGGGTGAAATGAGTGGGGTAAACTACTTTACTCCTAAATCTGTTTACTTTTAGAACCTCATTATCACCACCATCTACTGCATACTACTGTAAAGTAGTTTGGAAGCACTTCACACAGTAATACTAGGCGTTATTTTATATAGAATAATAAGTTATAGCATGCAGATTTATAGCCAGAAGTTATAAGTTATAATAAAATTCCTAATCTAGAGCATGTACTAATAATTTAGCAGCTAACATTAATATCTGTATTATTGTTGTATTTAATGTTTTTTTAATTTTTAATTATTTGTTTATTTGTTTGTTTTAAAGTGGTAGATAGAGGGAGACAGACAGGGAACCAGGGAAAAAAACTGTTCATGAATATCATGCTTTTGTACTATTAAAAGAAAATATTAAAATAATTATGTCCAGACTGCCTCATATCTCAAAAGCGATGCAAAAAATATGGACATTAGATAGGTACAGTATATTATTTAGTAACATTTTTTCATTCCTACATTACTTCTGTACAATACCTTATGTTGTCTACATTATGATAATTAAATCTACACTCTATAAGACATTATTCTATTTAAAATAACCTCTAGCATTACTAGCTGAAGTTATTCTAAATTTCTATATAGTAGTATAAAGTATTTGATGGTGATTATAAACATGTTTAGGAGGAAAGTAGTTGTGTATCACTTCACATAGAAAAACTGGCAGTTATTTTATATAGAATAACAACTTATACAATATAGATTTAAAGTAGATATCAAAAGAGGTATTTTATAGAAGTATTTTGGGAACCAAAAATGTTATTAAATGATAAATAATATAACCTTATAGAACCCTTCTTGAATGTGTGTGTGTGTGTGTGTATGTGTAACTCATTGTTCAGAAAGTAAACAAAGTGTTGTGTAAATGGACCGAGAATCACTCTATGAGTCCAAACCTTTAAGTGATAAGATGGTGTCCAATGGCTGTGCAAGACACTTGGGCAAACACACACAAATGCACACACAAACACAGAGACACACTACAACAACATTTCATTGTAAGTATATAACTACTATGAGCTGACTCATTAGACAATTTGTCACCAATTCCATTGAGGCTGATGAAGCTGATAGTAACAGACACCATAATTCTAATTTAACTTAAAATAAAACTAAAAATTAAACTGTGATTAACCCTATCGAACAAAGCATCTCGTCAGCGATCCATTCTGGCCCTTTAAAGTCATTTAAATCTGTCTCCAGAGTTACACACTTGTCCACACTTGCCTCAATTCACTGTATCAGTGCATACAATCAGCGTTTTTCGTGTTACTGTGCTTCTATCACTGTGTAAAAGATGCACAAGGCTTCCTTTATTGTTGGGTGCACTGTGATGTTTTCTGAGTGAGTGTACAAGCTTATTCACAGTGCCGTTCAGATTTGTAAGGGCCTGTTACTCACTGGGTTTATCAGAGAATGAAAACGTGACTGATCTGTGCTTTCTTGTTCGAAAATGTAGTTTGTGACAAAAGCCAAATACAGCTTTGTGAGATCACATTCTTTACACACAGTGCTTAGAAATCGTTAACAGAAAACAATGGATTAAATGCCAGAAATTGTTTTCACATCAGCCTTAAAGGATTAAACATTGCTTTACTGATATGACTGTCAGATGTCAACTGTGAATGGTCAAATATGAATTATGGCCACTTTTGCGACCTGACTGCACCCTGTTTCTAACGACAGGCCTAAGAGCACTGCTACTTCAGATTATGCTTTCAGCAAATTGTTGTAGTAATGCAAAGAGAAGTTGAGCTGGAGTTCTGGGTTGCTTCTGCTTTGAGCTGGAAAGCCTGACCCCTCTTTTTGATGACTGAAGTTAGGGCTGAGAGAGAACTGAGAAACAGGAAGTACCAAGGAACATGGGAAACAAAAGATAGAGATGTAATTTATAGAGTAGATTGGGAATAGCAGGATCTTCAGGCACGGTCCTCCTCCTAAATTTTCATCATTTCATCATCAACTCCACTGAAACCAGTAAAATCCTTACAGACAAACCATTCTCCTCATATTCAATTTGAATGAGCTGTTCATTAAAATATCAAACAAGCCACTTATCCTAAAAAGCCAAAATTGTTAATGTTTTATTGGCAGCATGATACTAGGGAACCCATGAAACCATAATATTGGTTTTACTGGCCAAACAAAATGTCAGTCAAGCTCTAACAATAATTGGAGCAGTAAGTGAAAACCAAACCCCTACCTCCTCCATAGCACTGATGAGGTTCTGAGTGGACTTGCTGATCTCTTCCCCTCCAACAGTGGTGGCCCCAGTGCTCTGGAAGACACCGTCAGGACTGCTGTGGCCATTCATCTCCACTGTGTAACTGGCCTTGGCTGGCCAGCAGAGCTGGTTATGCATGATGAAGTAAACTGCAAACACATACAGGCCCTGCAGACACAAGGCTATGGATTAGAGCTTAAAGCATACTGCAATACATGTTACAAAGATGGTACTGTCTTGACAGGTGCTCGTAAGGACACTCCTCTACGGATGACTAGATGTCAGTCTACTGATCCCTTAAAATCCCAGGCTTATTACATACAATGGCTTATTATTCAGTAACTACATGGACTACAATGCAAACTGGCTGAGTTATCCTTAGGTTACAGAAGTGTGTAGTAAAGCTTTGGACCCACCATTGGTTCTAGCCATTTATGGGGTTAAGTATTAGTTTAATACTGTCATTAGTTTCACTGGAAACAATAAAGAAGCATTATTGCTGTTACCACTGACAAGACAGACAAAGAATTCTAAGGTTTCGACTATAAACAGTCTAAACTTTCAATCAATCCCACATTGTGATTGTAAGTAGAAGAGGAGATATTTCATTACATCTGCAATTTGATGAAAAGTTATTGGACCTTATTCATGAAACCTTAGTCCTGTGTTCTACATTTTTTTCATGTATTTGTCATGTTTTGACATCGAAACAACAGGAATGAACTGAAACAAAAAGTCAGAAATGCACACTCAAATCTGCTGACACAGAATTCAAATATAATTAATAATCCAACATGTAATTAATTTTATACTTCTGTAATAGCTCTAGACTTCTTCAATATAATATAATATAACAATATAATATGACATATAAAAACTTACATACATAATTTCCATTCTATGCACAGTTGTATGCAAAATTATGAACACCCAAATTCACATGATGTTGAAAATCTTCCCCATGAAAACAGGTTAACACATTCTCTACAGGGAACACACTTAAATCTGGCATCATTTTACACACTTTAGCACATAATTTGCTGTGTTTAGCATTTGAAGAAAAAAAAATCTATCTGTGATCTATCTATCTATCTATCTATCTATATATATATATAGAAAGAAAAGTCGGAAGAAAACCTCATATCTCCATTTTTGTCGTATTTCAGTTTTTGATATAATTTGAAAATGCCTGTTGCCCTTTACGTTGTGTGTAATTTTTTTGAAGAATGGACCAAAAGAAATGGCCCAAAACGACTTAAAAAAGAGTCTGGTTCCACTGACTTACATTAAAAGTAAAGTAGGTTTTTTCCTTCTCCTGTAAAGTTACCATTTTGGACATACGAGATTTTCTTCTGACAACAGTGATATAAATATATATACATGCCACATTGTTTGCACAGGCCACAATTCATGTCTTGTTTATTTATTTTTTATTTATTTCAGCAAATAAAAGTAATCATGTATTAGAATGTGCAGTAGTGTGTTCTCTGTAAACAATGTGTTCACTTCTTTTCACTTACAAAATCAGCAAAACATGTCATTTGACTTGGGGTACCTAAACTTTTCCATACGACTGTACACTGATGACCTTCTGAACAGTGCTAAGAGACAATTAGCCATCCGAATAAAAACCTATGCACTATAGACAGTGAAGATATAGTTAATATCTTAAACACACTTTAAAAACAATGTAAAAAAAGACACCGTCTTGCCATCGTACTACAAATACTGACAGGCGATGATTAATGTCCACGACAATTCGCCTCAGTCACAAATTCCTCACATGAGATTCGGAAACAGCATGACATCACTCCAGTCAGTATGACATAATCACCAGTGAGGCCATGGACGGCACTGTAACACATGATTTTAGACAGTGGCACCAAACTGACAATCGCTCAGCTCACTTAGGTGCAAAATATCTCACTACCATCAAACATCTCACCACAAACACAGTTAGTTAGACAGACAGAGGAGGGAGTGAGGGTGGAGAAAAAAATCTGTAGAGCTTCTGGCCATAAGTGTTCTGCTGCTAAAAGAGAAACTTCAGCCCCAGACTGTACGGAGAACACTGTGATCCAAGAGAGATGCTGAAAGATTTATATAGTGATGAATATGAAGGTGTAGCAAGGGCCATCGAGCCGTCACAAAATATATATTTCAAATGTTGAAGTCCTATATCAGCAAAAAATCACTGAGATATTGTTACTGCTAACAAATACAGAGAAACAACGGTTCCAAAGACAGACTACACATTAGCTTTAGCTTTAGGCTTAGGCTGTATGGCCTGTGCTATAAGCTAAGCGTACCTCACTTGTTTTTCAGTTGCCTTGTGTCTTTTAATCCGTCTAATGCGATAGTTCAGCAAAAAATGCTCCCTGAATCCCAAATATAGTTGATCAGTCATGACATACATGTTGTATGAGGTTTGCTGCTTCAGTTTTGCACTGGAGCTACTTGCAGATCAATTTCATGCTTCAAGCTGGCTGCTACTACTGATTTTACTCAGGCTAAAACCTTTTGTCCATTTTTATAGGTTACTTGTTAGCTGCATTAGCCTTGTAGGTTTAGTGTAAAACTAAAGAAGCAAATACCAGGCACCAAACAAGTCTTTGTTGAACGACTATCTTTATGTAAACTTGAATTTTTTCACCAAACTATAGCTTAAGGCAGCAGTTCTCAAACTTTCTAAGGGTGCCTTTGTGGACAATAAGTGCCACTACGGCCCTACTAGGCCTCCCTCTTGCCCTTCCACCCTGGTCATTACATCATTACTTCACTTAATGAATGAGGACCATGTCTTATCAGTAGCTTGTCTATTTTACTAGCTATCACTGAACTGTTTGTAGAGATTGAACCCTGTTCTGTGACTTTACAGATAACTCAGTAAGTGGGCGCAGTATGAATGTGAACTGCGAGTTTAATAACATCCAATTTTTTATATATGGTCAAAGCAGATTTAACTAATAAACTTACAAACGTACTAAGTAAAGATACATTTTTCTAGCCACCGTCCCCGACTCCCACTTGATAGACTCCATAATTCAAACTCTGTCAAAGCTCTGAAAGCTAATTAGTCTCCTTTAGTAGAATTTGTCCTGATAAAATCTGTCTAAGTTTCTAACTGGTCTGACACTTAACAGGTACCTGCAGGCTGCCAATTTCAGGTGATGTAGTTCAGACCAAACTTCAATGCTAGACAGCCGCACACATCTGTCTCGCTGAGACAGCTTGAACTCAACGCCCCACAGATACCATTATCCTCTCCATTCAAGTTCGTCAACAAGTGATGAAAGCTCGAAATAGACTAAGCGAGTAAGGCTTAGTAAACGAGGCATTAGGTGATACGCTCATAGATATAAAGCCTTCCAGCGAGCACTGTGTGATAGGGCAAGCAGAGCACTATCAAAGCTTCCCCTCCAGGAGATTAGCACACAAATGGCCGGAGGCCATCGCTGCACGCTCAATTACCTCTGTCAGTTACGTAACTGTTCTCCATTCAGGAGTGGCAGCCTTCGTTTTCAGCTAAGGCGTCAGAGAGCGCAAAAAGCTTAAGACACTAGAATATCTGAGACATGCTGCGAAATTCAAAGAAAACATCGCTGAATTTAATGAACTTGATGAATTTGATGTGCTCACTTTCATGTATCGATACTTCAATAACATAGTATCAGTAACAGATCATTCTATTACAATGTACACAGTTATCATATAGGAGATATTACTTAGGTGATTAGATATAAGATCATCATGATGCTGAAAAAAGAATAACTTGTACTTAATTGTCATTTTAAAGGGAAATTAATTAAATGAAGGGTGGCCTCTGACCTCTGACCTTTGCAGAGCTTGGTATAAACATACAATGTTTATACGATTAAGTCTGTGTGGACACCTGTGTGTGTGTTTATGTGTGTCCACTGACTGATTAATAGACTGATGTATGATAAACAGCTTTAAATGCTTCGGTAACCCTATAACTAATGGAGGACACGACACAAAACTGTCAGTGCATATGTGAGCTTTCCAGCAATCAGACTGCTGCATCATAAGCAGACCTGTTTAGCAACTGTCTGACGCAGGAGAAAAAGAGGAAAGGGGAAAAAAACTGCAAATACACTTCCTCTGAACACTTCTTTTTCCTCTTTCTGCAGCATCATGCAAGCATCAACAGGATGCCTCTGTCAGTGTCACATACAACTGACCCAGAGCTCACGGCAATAATAACAGGAGCAGTAGCACAATGAAGATGGATTTATTTATAGCTCTCAAGTCCATTCAGGAAGCGGAGGGGAAATCAAATTGTGGGCGAGTGTGCTCCATTGTTCAAAGCCTCACTTTCTCGTGGTAATGGAACAATGCTGTGCCGTTTACTGGCAGGGCACAGACATAGCCCAGCAAGATTAATGGTGCCACAGCAATTCAATTATTTTCACATTGGTCACACGAAATTGGCCGTGGGCCATCACGGATGGGGCTGTGAGATGTGACAGGGAGAAGAAAGTGTGGGGTGGAGAGATGTGGGAACAGATGCTGTGGTGTTCTGCAGGAGTGTAGATTGTGACAGAACATGTGCAGCAATGTAACCTTAATGTGTGACCTTTACTACAACCTATATGAGCCATTCTACCAAGCCGGTTCAAAGTCAGAGTTCAAAACACATTTCAGACATTTAACTGACTTTGACTTTAGACTGCAATCCTTTTCGTTGAGTGACCCTATATCTTAAACAGGCCTATGTTCATTTTATTAAAATAAATGGTTGAACATTTCATTTTGTCACTACAAAACAATTATAACACTACTGAAACTTTACCAAATGTTTTGGTAGTGACTGTTTCGGTAGTGACAATTTTAGCTCATTTTGAGCGGAACTCAAAAACCCAAGCCAGTACATTAGCAAACACAGCTTTGAACAACAAGTTTTTAATAGTTTTTTTTTTCATTTAAAATTTAAACTCATGATAAGTCAAAAAATAAGTCAAACCATCACTTAAAAAGATTTTTTGACACTGAAGTATTTTTAACATTTAAGTTATATTAAGTAATATTAAAGTAAATTTCAATTAAGTATTATTTTCCCAAGTTGAAATTTAGGGGTTCTCAATAGAAAGCATCTATAAATGATGATTCTGTATATATATAGATTTTTACTGCCTCTATTAATGCCT